CATCAGTTTTCCTTTCACTAGCAGTCCTCTCACAAGCAGCAGCTGATATTTGTCCTCGTTGTCAAGTTGTTTCTTCTTGCTTAAGTAAAGGTATGTTTCCCCTGTCATTAAGTCTAGTCGTGTCTGACTCTGGGGGGTGGTGCTCATCTCCATTTCTAAGATGAAGAGCCAGCATTGTCCCTAGATGCCTCCACAATCAAGTGACTGCATGGAGTGCCATTACCTTTCTGCTGGAGTGGTACCTATTGATCTATTCACATGTTTTCAAACTGCTATTTTGGCAGGAGCTGGGGCTAGCAGTGGGAGCTCATTGCGCTCCCCAGATTTGAATCACCGACCTTTTGGTCAGCAAGTTCAGCAGCTCAGCTGTTTAACCTGCTGTGCCAGCAGGGGCTCCTACTTCTTGCTTAGTAGCTCTTAATTGCCTCTTTCTGTTTTCCTCAAGTAGGAGGGAACCCAAAAGGCATCTATATGAGTCCACTTTTTTGAGACATCCAACAGTGCTATCGGTAGGACTAGGCTCTTATTTCATGCTCTATCATGCAGGCTTACACCTTTCTGTTAATGCTCAGACAGAAAGACATGATAAAAGACCATAACATAATGGAAGAGACCCCAAGAGCCATCCAGTCCAACCTCATCCTCCCATTCAGGAATACATAACTGGACACAGAATTCCAGGTGAGCAAAATAGTGTGGTACTGATATCGAGCCTGAATTTAGGGGACTTTGCCTGAGAGGCAGGGACCGGCCAGACCCATCAATGAGGATCCATACTCTGGTGAGATAATAGAAGCTTGCAAAACAGATTTTTCCCTGAATTTTCCCAAGTTGTTTATTGCATTCCAGCTGGAGTTGTTTATTGCATTCCAGCTGGAGTGGATGTCAAACTGCAATCATTTGCCAAAGCCAACATAAAGCGCAAGGCAAAACAGTACATTTTTATAGAGAAAACAGAGCAGTCAAATTCAAATTTCCCGCTCCTGCCCCCTCTGCCGGCTCATCGCTTATTGGATGAAGTCATCAGCTGGAGGGGAGGCATGGCCAGTTTGGCTGAACCTCAGCCAATCAATGAGCCAGTGCCACTTCGGCCTTTCAGCCAGTCGGGAGGCAGGAGGCGGTCCAGGCGGGAAACAATGGACCGGGAAAGATTTCTGAATGGATTAGGTGACTCGACGTTTGCATAATTGCCGGCGATAACTTCTCAGTCCTCAAACTGGCTTCTTCTATTGTCCTAAGTGTTTTGAAATAACAACTTTGTCTGACTTGAAAGCCAGACCCTTTGTAATTTTAGGTCCAGGATATAGATTAAATGATAGTATCTGACTGTGGTTTCAGCAGGAAGGACAAAAACAAAGGGAGAGGCAGTGGGACATCTAGATCCTCCTCAGGCATGTCCTCCAGATGGTCCAACTCCGAGGTCTGAAGGATTATGACCATTGTCTTATTGTTCGTGCAAGAGTTTCTGCTGAGTCCTTTCAGTCAAGGGATTATCTAGCTCAGGAACTGAGAAGGTTTTCCTGAGGCATCTTGATGTGCTTGGGTCATGCAGGGGTGGCATTTCATATTTTATAAAATATATACAGGGATATGGGGACAGAGAGAAGGGGATCATAGGGATCATTCATATAGAGGGGTCAAGAAACCCTACCAACCCATCCTACCCACCAGAGTCCATTTAAAGTCTATCAATCATAGCTAGAATCCATGGGGTTTGTGGAAAGGAAAGTTTCTCAAAGTGGGCAAATGCTTGGTAAAAGTTCTTAAAAGTTTCAGCTGGCGTGCATTAGGGACACTGCAGTGCACTGAGGATCAGGGTCCATCCGATTGGGGAACGAAACTATAAATCCCATTTGTCAAGGGGGCCAGGGTGGCCTGTCTGCTTCCCAGGGGTCCCAAGGGGTGACCACAGCAGGTTCCCCAGGTTAACAGGCTCAACAAGACAGTGGCAGGAACAAAGTTGTGGCAGGCAGCCATGAGTCACGATCAGCTGGTCTCCACATGGATTTTTGGATAAAAAAGGTTATTCCCAGAGTGAAGGGGCCCATAATGCAAAAAGCAGGATAGCAGTTAGCCTTGAAATTAGTTTAGGAAACAAATGGCACCGGTTTGGAAGCAATCTGTTGACCGGTGGATATGGGGCCCAATGGGTTCAGAGGATCGCAGTTTCGGCCTCCTCATGATGCTGTAAGAGCATCCCGGGCGAGCCTGCAGCAATCTGTGGCTCGGGAAAGGAAAGGTTCATGTTAGAAAGTGTTAGAGCCGCCGCAAACTACAGGAAGCGAGAGTGAGCTTGCGCTTGGGCTCGCTCCGAAGCGCCGCCTTTTCCCCCCCGAGGCTGCTCTCTCTCTTGCTAGCGTGCCTGGATGCGAGCGTATTTCGCTGTTGAATTCTGCCAACAGCGAGAGTACGCTCACATCACTGCCCTCAGCAATGGAAAACAGGCACGCTAGCAAGAGAGAGAGCAGCCTCGGGGGAAAAAAAGCTGGGGCTTCGGAGCGAGCCCTCGCTCTCACTTCCTGTAGTTTGCGGCACAGCGAGCGTACGCTAGCATCCCTGCCCTAGCAAAGGGAAATAGGCGGAGAAAGAGGTGGAGCATCAGTCGTGCTGGCACAGTTTGCTCTCGCAAAACACTAGTTTGCGACGGCTCTTAGAGGCAGTAAAGTGACATAATGTATCACTATGGAGAGGAAAAAGTTACAATCAAATGATACTTTATTGGGGGATTTGTTACAATGTTAGGTTGAGGGGAAGAAGGCCAGGCAAGGCAAAAGAGATCTCCTTAGTTGAGGCTGCTGCTGTGGCCACATTCCCAGTGGTGCTGGTCCAATTGGCCAACCGGGAACTGCTGAACTCCCTGCTGCAGGTCAGATCAGCTTAAAGGCAGGGAGCTCCTAGTTGATCGATATTAGTACTATTACTTGCCTCAATCTAGATACTATGCTGCTCCTGATGTCACCTAGAATCACATTGTTTTAGTTGTAGCGTAAGACTTGATTCATGTTCACTTTCTGGTCTGCTAAGATTCCTAGTCCCCCTTCATATGTACTGCATTCTCTACAATATGTGATAATAGTTTAATGTATGTGTTAGATAGTGTAGTGGCCAGAACTAAACTCCGAGGTATTTTATGGTCAAAGGGATTGAACAGGACTTCCCCAGTGCTAGAAAGGAAGGAAGTCACTGTAAATCCACTCCAAGAAGCAGCTTCCTCTTGGCACATTTCCCCCTTTCGCCCACTATTTGGGCCTCTTCAGCATCCCTAGAACTGTTGGTAACAGCTGACCTCCAGTTCCAACGCTTGAGAGCCAGAGTTTCCCAGTTCTCATTGTTTATTCCACCTTTTTAAAAGTTAGCTTTCACCTCATTTTTAAATCTCTTTTGCTGTCCACTGATATTCTGTTTTCCATTATTGAGCTGAGAGTGAAATAACTGCTTTGGAAGATGGTGATCGGGCATTCAGAGAAGGTGGCCAGTCCAGCAAAGTGGATGGTGGAGGATCATGGCTTGGATGCTGGAGGTCTTTACGTCTTCCGGAATACAAGTTTGACAAAATATTTTAATTTTTAATCATGTTATTTACAACTGATTTCATCTGGTACATATACACATAAAAAGGCATCAAATAGACATATTCTTAAATAATGATGTTAACAATTAGATCAACACACATAATACATTTACAATTCTTGTGATTGCACCTTATCCTTTTTTTACATTGTATTTATTTCACGTCCCATTGTTACTCCAGGAGAACTCAATAAAGAATAGAAACCATTCTTTACTATATACTTTGTTTTATTTCTATTTATATTGTTAACTTTCCAAACTCAGGCAGAAATAATAAAAGGGGGTTATTTTAATTGCCAAAATCTGTTCAAACCCAATCCTTTCTTGAGTGTTTAAAATATAATCAAAATAGTGTCCAATTGTTCTGGAGGTTCTGGATAGATTTGTCTTAAAATAGACAAGAGCTGTTGGAATTTTTCAAGAAGTCAAGAGTGACATTTGTAGATGGTCCATGTTTTTCACAGGCATACAATAGAATTGGAAGAGGAACAGCTTTATACACAAGCATCTTGGTATCCCTAGAAATGTCCTGATCCTCAAACCCCCTCTGCTTCATTAATACTGTAATATGCTGCACTCAGTGCACAGACGGTGTATTTTAGCATCAATGTTGACTATAAGACAGGCTCCATCCCTCCCCTCTTTTTGTAAGAGTTTGAAGACTTGGTGGTTTCAACAAATCTTTGAGTGACCAATGCTAGCTCAACCCAGACACTGTCTGGACATGACCTAGCCCCATATATATCACTCTCCCAAGAGGTCCCTGGAAATGGCCCGCTTTTGTTGTTTACCTATTGCAGTACTGTACCCAAATGCTGGTCTCATCTTAGCGGTATATAAATAGAATCATAGAATCATAGAATCATAGAATCAAAGAGTTGGAAGAGACCTCATGGGCCATCCAGTCCAACCCCCTGCCAAGAAGCAGGAAAATTGCATTCAAATCACCCCTGACAGATGGCCATCCAGCCTCTGCTTAAAAGCTTCCAAAGAAGGAGCCTCCACCACACTCCGGGGCAGAGAGTTCCACTGCTGAACGGCTCTCACAGTCAGGAAGTTCTTCCTAATGTTCAGATGGAATCTCCTCTCTTGTATTTTGAAGCCATTGTTCCGCGTCCTAGTCTCCAAGGAAGCAGAAAACAAGCTTGCTCCCTCCTCCCTGTGGCTTCCTCTCACATATTTATACATGGCTATCATATCTCCTCTCGGCCTTCTCTTCTTCAGGCTAAACATGCCCAGCTCCTTAAGCCGCTCCTCATAGGGCTTGTTCTCCAGACCCTTGATCATTTTAGTCGCCCTCCTCTGACACATTCCAGCTTGTCAATATCTCTCTTGAATTGTGGTGCCCAGAATTGGACACAATATTCCAGGTGTGGTCTAACCAAAGCAGAATAGAGGGGTAGCATTACTTCCTTAGATCTAGACACAAAAGTTGACAAGGGTTCCTCAGAGAAGCAGAAGGACACTTTCTTCTGACTCAAAACCTCACTATTTCAGTTCAAGGCTGTAGAAGTAGAGCTGTATATCTGACCTCTGTACTTAGGCTCCTGCTGAGTGTATCTAGTTTTGCATTCAGTTACACAGCGCTACCTCTTGATTACACAACACTACCTGGAATTTTTGACTAAATATAAATCTGGGTCTTTTATTCCCTCTTTGCTGTCATCATCGTTGCTGATCTTTCCAGAGGGAATAAGTTCCTGACCGATCCATGGGCGGTGGAGAAAGCATTCATTATTCACACTCCAGCCTCCCTGTTGATTTTTAGCAAATATGTAAAACAAGAACAGAGAGGTTCCACAAGGAGAAGCAACAGTCCCAGGTCTCTGGAGAGAAAGCACCTCCTGTGTCTCAGCTGATGTGAGTCATTGGACCTCGCTCTCCATCCTTAGGGAGAGAGCTCCAGTTGGGCTTTTCCATTCACATGAAAGAAGGGAAGGATGGTCTCTCCTGAGAAAGAGGCTGGAGGGTATTCAAAGATCAGGACTGCTGAGTCTGCATCGTAAAAGGCCACTCTACCCCCTTCCCAGTTCAGTGTCACTCGGACCCTCTTGGGCTCCTCGCTCGGAGTCAGACGTTGGACCACAGTGTGGTTGATTAACCAGACTTCACTCCCATATTTTCCCATTCGCCAGATCCCAGCCACAGGGCCAGAGGAAATGGAGCCCTTTCTCTTCACAGACTTTCTGGCAACTCCCATAGACCATGCTTTCCCATTCTTCACAAGGACTTCCCAAAAATGCCTGCCTCCTCTGAATTCCTCCTGGCCCAGCACAAAAAGACGTTGATTGAATCTCTCAGGATTTTTAGGAATATTTTGCATTTTCTCTCCCAACGTCACACATCTGTGATCTTCAGAGAGGATGAGCTGAGGATGGGCTGTTTTTGGATCCAGGGTCACATGTGCTGTTGGCAGAAACAGATCAGGGGTGGAGAAAGAAAGAAAGAAAGAAAGAAAGAAAGAAAGAAAGAAAGAAAGAAAGAAAGAAAGAAAGAAAGAAAGACCGATAAATGTAAATTACTGGAGGGTTCCGCTTCCATCTTACATTCTTATAAAATAACAGGGAAATCCTCCCTTGTCTCCTCAAATCCAAACATGTTCAACATTACGCTACGTCTTCATCCCTCCTAAGATTAAGACTTGAATGTTTGGTGATTTGAGCACTGGAATTTTGATTCTGAAGACTAGGGATCGATTCCCAGTTCAGATATGAAACCCACGAGGGACCTTGTCACATTGATTCACCCTGTGCCCCACCTTGCTGGCAGTGACACTTCCTCATCATGCATCTTCCTCTCATTGGTATGGGGGGAAGGGATTTGGACTTCTTGTTTGATACTGCAATATTATTGTACTCTAGCTAACAATAACTACCGTATATTCCGGCATATAAGGCGACTGGGCATATAAGACGACCCCCAACTTTTCCAGTTAAAATTTGGAGTTTGGGATATACTCACCGTATAAGA